AGGCTGTGAGGAGATGAGCTGAGGCCAAATTATCATTCCCAGACTTCTAGGGAGCAAGTTGGCAGCAGAGCTCGGTGCTGGCTGCAGAACTGCAGCCTGAGAACCTGAATTTCTTCAGAGCAGCACTGCACACACAGACACATCTGTGTGTGTACACATATATACTAATATAACATTATTATACATTATATATTATTACATATATGCTGCAGTTTATATAATATATGCATGATAATTTATACACCGGTTTATAGAATGCATAAGTACAGTGTATATTTTATATATGTGCTTTTCTAGAGTTTTGCATCAGAACAGAGCAGAAAAGAGCAAAAAGAGGGAAGGTCCAGTCCCAGCAATGAGGTTGTTTCACTAAACACCTGAGCAGCTTCTGTACTAGCAGAAGAGAATCCAAAAGCAAAGTAGCAGTTGAAAGAGAAGGAAACAATGAAGAAAACCACCACAAACCAAACCTAGGCAAAACGCAGTAAGCCAAGAGGAAAACCTTCCCATGAAAGGAAAATCATGAGTTTGGGTTTTGAATTGTTCTCCTTTAAATCACCTAAAATGTAACCTGCAATAGGGAAACTGAACTCTTCTGGTGCTGGACTTTGGTGGGTGTGCAGGACTCTGTCCCAACACACCTGTAGGACAGCGGGACATAAATGCCTTCCATCCTGCAAACTCTTCCCAGTTCCATGCAGACCTATTCCTGATCCCCTCAGAAAAGGGACCCTGATCCCCTCACCCCTTCTCAGAGCACTACACTGCCATCATCCTCCCTGCTCAACTTCTCCTTTCACAGCCTATGCCACTGAACATCAGTTTAAAGCAGCCTGCAGGGAACAGCTACATACTTGGGATGGAAACAAGAGGAGCTGATTTGCTGAGCTTCAGCAGCCTGATCCTGCTCCAAAGGATGCAGGACAAGCCATCAGCTTGATTCCCAGATCCACGAGCCTACTCCATGGAACCAGAGAGAGGAGAAACACATCAATACAATTGACTGAGCAACTGGCAACAACATTTGTTTTGACATTCAGTAAAGATATTATGCAGATGGATCTGTTTTTCTCTTCGGCTTTAAAACACACCATTAAAAATCTGGTATTTGCATTTTGGGAGGTGCATGCTCATTTACATTGAGGCTCCCTTACCATGACCTACTTTGAAGTCCCTTAATACTGTCAAAACTGAGCAGAGGTCCCTCAGTGTAAAGCGATAATCGAGCTCTGCAAAGTGCACACAGCAAGTCTGAAATGCCACATTTAAACCCAGAGCTGGTGGAAGTATGGAACATCAATTCCACCGTCCACCATCAGGCATCAGTGCTGGCAACACAGTTTCCAAGCCTCCAGAAATCATCATCAGCTAGGAATTAGCCAAAAAATCTAGAAAACAGACCTTCATACGTACAAGAATCTGAAAACACCGCAGGAAAAAAACCAACCTTTTCTCTTACCTTCAGTAGCTTTATTTACAGCTGTTAACGTGCTCAGGACCTTGGAGAACTGATCTCCGGTGTACAAATCATGTGGATCAAACACCTGTGAAAGAGGAACTTGGTCAGTTGAGTCCAAAACACCTCACTCCAGCTGCCTGCGCCACCCACGCTACGGGAGGGTGACAGTGAGGATTAGGCAGCCCATATGTCTCTGCAGGGAAAGGGTGTTTATTCAGGGCTGACAAGTCCCATTTCCTTTATAGCCAGAGAATTCCTGGGGCGTCGCTGGCAGGAGGCGTGGGAAGGACAGGGGGACCCAGCAGCATTTGGAGTGTAATGCTGGGGACAGGGAGAGAAGGAGTTGGTGCTGTCTGCAGAGCAGGGACTCCTCTGAAAATCACCGAGAAGGTTATTGCTGGCCCTGAGGGAAGGAAAGATTTTGTTGCTATTTTTGTTATCGAAAGCTGAAGAGATTGAGGCTGCACACACAGATCTATGTATAAACACACACATATTTTCCACAGCAGAATTAACACACACGGAATTTTCTGCTATTGCAATATGGCATATAGAGTACCTTTACACTGTTTTACAGGAAGCCAAAACCAGTTCTTTTATACACAAAAATTCCACCCTAATGAATTTTGTGCTGCTAAGCCTCAACAGCAAAACAGAAATACAGTTAGCAAGGGCTTACTTTCCATGACTGATAACCTGGACCTTGTACACTGAGCCCTTCAGAAATCACCACCTGCACAATGAGGGGCAGTTTGAGTTTCCAAAACACGTCAACCCTGTCTAACACCTGAGAAATGTCCTCAGCTTCATCCAGACTGTACAATTCCCACCATTAATGAAGCAAACGTAAGAGATGCAAAAAGTCCCTGTTATTGGTACCACCAAGGCACCATCTGCTAATCTCCAAATACATGTTGTCTTGCAGATGGAGACCACAGATCCACAAATCCAACGAACAGGAAAGATGATTTTAAAGCTCTCCTGGCAGACACCACCTAATTACGAACCCTTCCAATGCACTGAAGAGTGTATCCTGCTAAACAAGGACACAAGTCTTAATTACCTTTAGGGTAGTACTGCCCTTTAAAGCAGCCCTTGAGTGCTTTCCACATAGAGCTCCTTGAGTATGCTTGGCATATTTCAAATAGGAAGGGGACTGGCCTCTTCCGCAGCCCTGGATGCTTGCGGCATCTCCTGCTCTCGACAGACACACCAAAGCCCAACACAGGCAGTACAAAGACTGCTCTTTGTTGAGGCTGTATCTAAAAACTGACTAAGCCACGCAGTACCACGAGGAAAGCTTTACCCTGAAGAAATTAGATCCACGCTCAGAGGGGGCACAGCGTACTGTCCTTACAAACATTAAAATCAGCAGCTCGGATCGCACCTACCACTCCATGTTTCAGGGACATCCCTACTTACCTTGGGCTGTTTCCAAGCTGAGCCTGTGCTCACCTGGGTTTGCTCCTTTGGGCCACACAGAGCTCACCCCCTCTGCCAGCTGGTACGTGAGCTAGTTTTCCTCAGTGCTATCTGAGCATCTCCTCCAGCGCCGAGAGCGTCTCCGTGGAAAGGGAGACTGTAACGGAGAGCTCGGGCGGGCGCTGACCCCGTTGGCAGCAGCTGGAGGATGCGAAATTACAGTTGCACAAGAGGAAAGTAAACAGTCAGGCTGGGATGTTTGTGTGCATCTCTCTGGTGTGTCATTTTCTCAGTCATACCCTTTTTCTTCCACTTCAGTAATTCCAGAAAAACAAGTCCCGCCTTGAACAAATGGCTTTTTTTGTTGTTGTTGTTTAAGGACCAAAGTAATAAAATACATCCCTGATCCTTCAGTGCATAGAATAATGCTATGCTGTAAGCTCAGGCTGACAAAGTCCAGAAAGAAATGGTAGGGAGAATGATATGCAAAAAAATGATAGCACAAAAGCAAGTAATAACATTTAGGACTTCTTTGTGGGGAAATCGCCTGGGACAGCTACCGTGGAACAAAGGCTATGTCAAAAACTCTTCTGGATCAGCTACTGTAATGTAAATATACTCTGCAGCTTGTTCCAGAATAAATATATCACACAGAAAAGTCCTCAATTACCAGCTAAAAATCACTTTTCCCTGCACAACCCACCCATAATTCCATTCCTAACTAAAACACAAGCTGCAGCTAGAAGACAAACCGAGGGGGAAAGGCTTTTTTGGGGTTTAGATCCTGGAAGATCTGGTGGCTGTCAGTAAAACCACATTGAAACCCACGGCTGTCACCTGAAGATCTGCACTAAAACGCGTTTCTGACTTCCCGAATCCCAGACCGCAGCGAAACGCTCCGGCTGCTCCGCCTGGCATCGCAGCGGGGCGAGAATCCTGCCCTGCCGCCCCGCAGCTCTGCGCCCCGCGGGGACGAACACCCCAACCCGGGCACGGCGAGCGAGGCAGCAGCACCCGAAATCCCAGTCCGGCACGGGAGGCGCAGAAAAGTTAGGGGTGCCGGGTTGTTCCTAGCCCGGGATGTCCAGAGC